TAGACCCTTCTTCTGAAGGGTCTAGGCCCGAAACGTCAGCTTTCCTGCTCCTCTGATGCTGCTTGGCCTGCTGTGTTCATCCACCTCTACACCTTGTTATCTCAGATTCTCCAGCATCTGCAGTTCCTACTATCTCTGCGTAATAACATGTGCATTAGTCTTTTTCTAAGACTTTTTCCTAAACTGACAAATATTTACTTCATATAATGTTGTTAAAACAGTAATTAGCAGACATTATACATAAAACAACTGCAATATAATATATTCTGAACATTTTGCTCTGCAGGCAAAACTACAGTTTAACTTAATATCTATCTTGGGGAAGATGTTAGAAAATATTCACAATATTCTAGAAAAATTAAGATAATTGGGTAGAGTCTACATTTAATTTCTGAAATGGGATGGTGTTTCAGGAGTTTGTCGAGTTGTTTAGGAAGTAACATGCTTTGCATGTATTGTACTGAAATATCCATGAAGCATTTGATAAGTTGTCATATCAAAGGTTATTATGGAAAATAAAATCTCAATGTGTAGCGGATAGTATTTTGGCATGGATGGAAGATTGGCCACTAACAGGACACAATTTATCTAAATGGGCCATTTGACAGTTGACACAGTGTAACGGATGATGTGTCACAGGGCTCAGTTTTGAGACCTCAACATTTTGCAATCTATATCAATGACTTGGATGAAGGGACCAAAGGTATGGCTGTTGAATTTGTTGCTGACACAAGGATAGCTAGGAAATTCAGTTGTGAAGTGGAAGTAACTAGGCTTTAAAGAGATCTAAACAGGAGGAGTGAGCAGACAGGTCTGTCAGACGGGGAGTGTAATGTGAGAAAATGTGAAGTTGTCCATATTGGCAGGAAGAATAAAAACATGTTATCTAAGGTGAGAGATTAGAGAGCTCTGTGTTGAAATGATCAGCTCAGCTTTGGTTTCGTTGAATGGCGGAGCAGGCTAGAGGGGCCAAGTGACCCACTCCTCCTAATTTGTATGTTTGTTTATATGTGTTAATTACCAAAACAAATCTTGGAATTTTGTTTTTATCACAACCAATTTGATCCTGAATGAGAAGCTTAAATGTAACAGTGTCTAAATATGGCATGAAAATGTAAGAGTTCTGGGGCTTATGTGTCTAAACACAGTACTATTGAAGTTAGAATTTGTACATCAGTCTCTTAAATTGACTTATAAGCATTCTGTCATCTCTAGATTATGCAATTTTTGTCAGAAGAAAATTAGTCAATATGCTCACCTTTATAAAGCGAAGCATATATGTTTGAATATTTTTGATCGAACATGAAAATGGATGGTTTGATAATTGATCACTTCGGTGTGCAAGAATATGAAAATTAAAGGCCTGTTAATGAGTTGGAGAATTTACTTATTTTTTGTTCTTGACAAGTTCGGTGAAAACTATAGTTTATGTATTGTCAAGTTTTTAACCCTTTTTTAAAATGATCAACAGGTGCGGTAGAAATAACCAAAAGATTAGATGTGGACTCTGCACATTTCTGTGCTTAGTTTCACTTACTCAAAGAATGAATAGTGTGAATTTATCTTTTGAAAGCAACTGTGGTGCATTCACTCTGAATTTTAATTGATGAGAACTTGGAACAAGTCTGCGTAATAGCACATTGTAATATTCATTTGTGTCTGTGCATGCCAACAGATGCAGGGAACAACCTAACTTTGCCAGAAATTGCAAGGTACACAGCTGAAGCATTGAACTAATACAACATAATGTTTTCAGGTCGAGGAGAAGTAAAGTGCCTGCTCGTAAAATTGGCTTGCAAAAGCTATGGGAATGGTGTGTTGGAATTATGCAGATGACATCACTGCCATGGAGAATTGTAATGGGGAGACTTGGAAGAGTAGGTCATGGAGAACTGAAAGGTAGGCAACTCAGCTTTAATTCAGAAATTATTTTTCACATACCTTAAAACTTCAGAAAATAGTTTCAGAATCATTATCCATCCTTATTTATTGTAGCACAATTGTAACTGTCTTCAAATACACGATCAATCAATTCATTTATTTGTGTTCCAGCATCAATTGATTCATACATCGTTATTTATCAGACAGTCAAAAATGAAAATAAACTATCCAGATATTTGATTTATTTTCTAAAGTTTAACAAAATATGGATGAAGTATTTGGCAAGTATATTCTTGCACTTCGCCATTACTGTACCTATTTGTGGATGGTCTTCTTTAAACCAAGCTGTATTATCAAAGATGTTAAAAATGGATGTATCGAATTAATGGTTAGAATAGCAGTAAAGCATCCTTAAGTAAGGTGTATATTAAATGTATGAACAATTATGGGAGTTGTAAAGGGACAGTGACAGTGTTGTGAAAATTGGAGATTTTTTTTCAAAATAGATATTTTTGGCTCTGTGAAGAGTACATTTCAGACAATCAGAAATATGCTTGTTGCAATTATACACCCATTCATTTCAGTGCCGAGTTATGCGCCCTTAATTTTGTGATGTATGTACCCAAAGGGGAAACTCATACATTTTTCTAAAATACAAAAATGGTTCACTGAGTTTGGCATATGTGTGGCAGTTTAGGTAAATTTGTTTGGCAAATACACATCCTAAAGAAAATCTGTTTCCTTTTTCTACTTAATATAATTCATCTTTCTGCAGATTGGAGTATCCTAATTGGGCGACGCTCACTACAATCTACCAGTAAGCAATTGAAGGAGACTTGCACAATGTGTGGTATATCTGCAGCAGATTCTCCCACAATTCTCAGTGCCTGCTTGGTTGCCCTGGAACCACAGGGTTCATTTGTTGTTATGCCTGGTATGGACTTTATTTTGAAAATAAATTTTAAATATTTACAGGAATGTGCATTGCCTAATAGTTTCAAAGTAATTACACAATTGGTATCTCAAAGTTAAACTCCAATTGACAATTATTTGTATTTTATCTTTAAGATGCTGTCACAATGGGTTCTGTGTTTGGGCGTGGTACAGCTCTCAACTTGCAAACATCTCAGTTGAACACCCCACAAGATGCATCCTGTACGCACATTCTGGTTTTTCCAACATCTGCCGCTACGGTTGTTGCCAATACTGAAGCTTTGGAACCTCTTGGTAACCAAGGTCAGTAGACTTACTTAGTGACTAATTTGAGGTTTTTAAAGTTGCAGAATGTGCAATTTCACCAAAACATGGTTAATTGGGAAGAAGCTGGTTGTAAGTAAAAAGTTTGATTACTATGAAAGGTAGAGAAAATGGATTTTGTATCAAGATACATTCCTGTCAGTTAGTGGAGATGCACTTTTCTGCTTAGTGTGAGGACAATACTTTCCAACAAGGACTTGTATTTTCAGTGCCAGGCAGGTACTCTCAAATTCAACACAAATTAATTTTATTGTGCTAAAACCCACTCAAGTTCAATGAAATATTAAAACAAAAATTTATAAATGCGTCCTACTTCCCACAAACAGTCTGACCTAAAGCATGCTAAAATAATATTCGAGTATCAGAGATTGAACTGGACAGAGTTTAAAAATGGTTTATTTTACAAAAAGGAGCAATCAGTAAAGATTTGTTGTATCCAAATGTGCTATTTATTCAACAAAAGCAGTAGTTTGATCATGTGAAGCAAGCATGGAAAATGCTGGAGAAATTTACTAAGTCTGGCAATATCTGTGGAGAGAGAAACCGACTTCTTCTGAAGTAATATTGGACTGCATATTAACTTTGTTTCTCTGTTCACAGGTGATGACAGACGTGCTGAGTTTCTCCACCATTTTCTGTTTGTTTCAGATATCCAGCATCCTCAGCATTTTGCTTTTATTTAGCTTGATGATGGGGCTGGTATGTGTTTTTTTTTCCTCGTGGAGAGTACCATTTGTAGAACTCCAGTGGCTTTCACAAAGTTCTGTCCATTCTAAGACAGTAGGCATACTTTTTCCCAGCAAAAGCTCAAATGATACGTTATAGAGAAATGCTTGTGTGCTGTTGGTACAAATCCAAAATTCAAATGTTCATGCAATGTAGCACATGACTGTTATCCCATTTTTGCACTATATTCTAAAACATAATTGATCAACTTGTGTCTGGCCCAGGTCCCTCGGCAATTATAATAGCTGAGATTTTCTAAAAATGTTCCAGCCATTAACTCCTGAATGATCTACTTATTTTCTTGATAAGAGAGCTGTTCACACCTCCAGTCTCTGTTGGGGTCTCCACAACATGGAATGTAGATGAACAGATGGAGATTGGCTTATGGCTGCCAATGTCTTAGTTTCAGTTAAAAACTATCTTTTAAAGAAATGTTGAATCTTGGGAAACATGTTGAAATTGCAATTTATTATTTCTAAACAAGAGCTGTTAAACATAAAAAAAACAAAAGTTGTGCTAAACTTTATAAATCACATTAGGCCTCAGCTGGAGTATTGTGAATAATTCAGGCCGCCACACATCAGTAAAGATGCAAACATTTTTAGAAGGAGAATGGAGGGTTAGAGAGTGGTGGTAGTGGTGATGGTTGTAAGGGGGGTGATAAGTGGTCTGGGTTTGGGTCTGGGATTGGAGAACCAAGAAGGTACCAAGAGTGACGATTATCCGTTGTGAGGGAAAATTTGATAAGTTAGTTATTCGCCTTGTAACACAAACGGTTAAGGAGTGACCAAAGTGATATTTTAAAGATGATGGGAGGATTTGATAGAGAAACAAGTATTGACTTTAACAAGTGTGTCAATAACCAAAGGTCATAAATTTGACATAATTGGCTAAAGATCTAAAAGGAAGATAAGGACCCTTTTTTCAGGGAATTGTTAGGATCTGGAATGGTCTATCTGAAAAGGCAATGGAAGCTGATTCCACTAATAGGTTTTAACAATGGATTTAATACGGACAAAAGCCATGGATATTGAACTAAGCACGATTGCTCTTTTAAAGAGCCAGTCAAAGGTTTCTGCCTGGGCTTTAAGCCTCTGGTTATAGTGCTAAAATTATTTTAACCCTGTGATTGCAATGGAATCTGGGGAAAATGATTGTTGGGCACCGATTTGTGAACTACCCTTACCCATTATTGCTCACACTGTAGACTTCCTGATCTTGTATTCACCCATGAAGAGATGTTTAGAAGCTGAGCACATGCATACAGAGTCAGAGCCAAGGCCAGTCAACAATTGTGGACCCCTCTACAATTAATACAGCACAACATTGAAGTAGACCCTGGAAAGTTCAATAGAATGATAAGAGCAAGGATTGTATGAAATACTGTGTTTAAAATATTTGTTCAGAAAGTCAAGCATGCAATATTGATCAGTATTTTTGCTTTAAAAAATGTGATTTCATGTCTTTTTGCATTTATTTTATTTGCTGTAGTGTTTATTTTGTGTTATCATAAACAGATGGTATAGGAATTTTGGAAGAAGATATTTTTGCAGAAGACTTTGACAATGACATTCGGATTCTGATCACTGGTAATCTTCATCCATCTCCCACCTCTTCTCCTGTACTGTCTCCTGGTTCACCTACTGGCACAGGAGCAGGCTCTCATTTTCAACACAGCAGTGAAGGTGGCAGGGTAAGGTGATAATATCAAAGCAAAAGCAAATTTTTGATGGAGAAATGTTCGTAACTTTTAAATTCAAAATTGAGTCTCCTTTCAGGTCAGCTTAATGGATGTGTGGATTGCTTTAAGTTTCTTAGAAAATGTTGTGCACTCTGTGACAGGCATGTTTATCAGTGTTTTGTATATCCAAGTTTAATATTTGAGTCACTTTTGTTAGCTTTTAAATGGTTTGGTATGCTACTCAACTGTTTCAGATTTTGGAAGTGACTCTGAAATCTTGGCATGCTTAGGTTGGCATTGCTGAATCATGTTATCTTGCAGTCTTAAAATGGATATTCCAAAGAATTTGTTCAAGATGCGAGAGTTTGAGAGCTGTGAAGGGCAGGGATAAATAATCTGAAGTGCTTGGTTTTTGTTTTCAACCTGTGTTGTCCAGTTAATTATTGAATTTTTATCATTTGCAGTAAAATATTGCCAATACTATAGATGGCAACTCCTACAAAGTGTACAAATGACAAATTTGCATTTCAAATTTGATTTATGATGTGCCATTTAGTTAGGTGCACAATGTTAATTTTTAGCTCTCCATCCCCTCAAACAATGGATAAACCCCAAATAACACATTCTGCATAAAAAATTTGAATATTCACAATGCTGCACATAGTAAAAGAGTCTGATGTTTATTTGTTCCTAATTTTTCTGTGTACCTTATACTTTGTGGGTTGAAAGGTACATTTTAGCAAATTAAATAACCAATTAGGGATAGATGTAAAGCCAGAGTGTAATCTTCTGAATAATGCAGGCTGCTTTTAACTTTTAAATTTTTTAACTTAACCTTGGAACAGAAGTTTTTGTTTAAATCATTGCGTAGATTTGGCAGCGCATGTTCCATATACCACTTTCCTTATTTGGGGTACTAAAACGACAAAATCGGCCGTAAAGGTGCTTTTAGTTAACTCGTTTCTTCCTAATATGTTTTGTTTTTAAAACATTTGTTTCTAAATGCATCATTCAACTTTGCCAGCTGGCTCCTTGAGACAGTTTAAATTCCGATATTGTTCACGTAGGAATCCAGATAAAATCAATCAATATTCCCAAAAATGTCGTGCCTTGTTCAGGTGATGAAATTTGAAGAATGAATTTTTTTTCCCTGAAGCAACGCCACCAGCTGGTAGAGTGGAATAAGTGCAACAACAGCAGATATATATTTGAAGAAAAAAGATCTTGTTTTTGGAAAACCTGGATTAGAAATTATTCTGCTGGTGCCCAGGCCACAATTCTGCTCTTTTTAAGTTAAATTTTTAAAATAATTTAATATTTGGTACATTATCTCCCTTAGTGAACTGTAAGCAACTATAAGCTAACATGAAGCACTCTCTTTTGTATGCTGATATTGGATCAAATGATCATACAGTATTAAATCCAGCTTAGAAGATCCTTTAATTATTAACCCTCTAGGCCAAATATAAGGTCAACAAAATAAGAAAAGCTACAAAATGCATAACTTTTGAATCCGGCGGCGGAGGAGGAATTATATAAACCTGTCCTGCCATCTTCAGGGAGCTGTAGACAAACACCTTAAAATTCCTCTGTTCTTCTGACCTTCCTAGTGTACTGCCGTTCATAGAGTACTTGTCATCTCACTTTTCAGGGTTAAATTCCATCTGCCACGTTTACATTATCTTTGAGCAGACCACTTGGTACTTATTGTCTCAACCTTTCTTTGTTTATACAAAAGGGCAAAGTACACTTCTTAAAGCCATAATATTGTCAGAACAGTTATCTTGGCATTCTGAAAACTTCTAGGCCCAGCCAAATATTTTGGTTGAGTGTCAGACTCTTCCATGTACTTTCTTCTCTTGCAAATACAAAACACAGCTTTGTTCATCAGTTAAATACTGTGGACTGACTGTGATCTTATCCTGAAATTGTGGGAAAGAGGATGGTCTTGGAGTGCACAAACCTGATTATCGTCAGTATAATTTCTCCTCCAAGCACTTGGGAATAGTTAATATTTCTTGCACCAAATACTTTTCCCTGAGAGTGATACCAAATTAAATTAAGTTTATTTTTGTGAATAATTATCTATAAATAATCTATTTTCTCAGTTAAAATGCACCACTTTCAATTTCATTAAAGAATTAAACAGATAAATCAGTCTATTGAATTGTATTTTTAGTGCAAAACTTCCAAATAGTTTGGTGCTTAGAAACTGAGTAGTCTGTCTAATTTCTACAGGTTAATCTTTCAATTTATACTGACATCTTAACTGTAGGGCTGCATTTTGCCTTTACATCTACTGTGGCTTGAGTTATTAAAAAATAAAGGGCATAGTTGAAGTGCCCTATTTTAGTGTCAGTGAAACATTATGAAATATGTTTTTGCCTTTTTAAAAGGCAATCTGCAAAAAGGACACACCTCAATTAATGAACGGTGGAATCTCGAGTCTATCCCAAGCAAATCAATTACAGGAGTGAGCATTAGAATATGAAAACAGTTGCATTTCTTTTTGAATCACAATAAGAGGGTCTAAAGGGAAAAAGAATCCAGAGCATGTGTAGACATCAGTGAAACATGTTTAAAACATGTCAAGAATCTCTGATTTGAAATGGATCATGTATTGTTAATACTTTAAAAGTTCCATAAAGTAAATAATGCAGGCAACTGGATAGTATCAAGTTGGACTGTATGGCAAATCATCTAACAGTGGTACTGAAATAATCGGGTATTTTGCAGGATGCCTGGTGATGCCAACTGAAAAGCATAGAGATTGCTCTGTTAAATTTAAGCTATTTCTTACAAGGTGTTGCAAATCATCTTTGGGATTCTGAGAGTAGGTGGCTAAACTTTATTCGGGGAGTGAACTTGATAAATATTGTCGTGGTTCATTGGGGTAGTGCTCTGGAAATCAAGCCCAGTTATTGCTGAAGTTAACACGAGTTAAAAATTTTAAAATAAAGTCTAAAAGATGTCTCCATTTACCTGATTTCGACTCGGGTTGCTGGGAAACACATAGCAAGTTTCTGGACTTAACAAGAATTACTGTTCATTACGAGTAATGAGACTCGAGCTATAGGTAAACAGATACAAACCATCAGCACTACAAATTAAATTGCTAATCTCTTTATAAACTCCCCCAATACACACTCAGACGTGCATGCGCACATACACACAAGTTATGTTTACATGTTAGTGAAGCTAGACGACTTTTCCTTTGAGAAAAGGAAAGGTTAAGGAGAGATTTATTGTTCAAATTTTAATGTGTTTTATACATGTCAGTTGAGGAGACTTGGATTTAAAGTCCTTCACAAAGTAACTAGAGAGAATGAGAATTTTTTTAACATAATGAGTTATAATCTGGACATACTGTTTGAAAGTGTAGTGGAAACAGATTAAATAGAAACTTTCAAAATGGAATTTGGATAAATACATGCAAGGATAGTTTTGAAGGGCATAAAAGTTCTTTCAAGAGTTGATGAGGTGAATGGCATCATTTTGTGCTGGACCAACTATGTATATATTTTTGCAACATTCAGAGGCATAACTGCCTTGCTTTAGGAAATAGCACAGAATATGCAAATTTTCTGAAGTTTGAATTGGGCACGTTTTAAATTCTCGGATCTAACCTTCTGTGATGACTCACTGTTGACTTGCTGTGTACCTTTTGTCCAATTCACTTCTCTGGCTGAAGGTGAATTAATCAATTAGAGAAAGGATAGTTTAAAAACAGCTTATCCTTTGTTCTGGCCAAATTTTATATATTTGAACAGGTGCAATAGTTAACCCCACTGGTGTGTCAGTATCTTTAGTTGAATTTTTTTGGAATAGCTTGCTTCAGTCCGATGAGATCACGTGGAATGCTGTCCTTTCTATATCGTCTCTGGTTCCAGTTGCAAGGACCCTCTGTTTTAAGTAGCATGTCAAAACACATTTATAAGTAGAAGATTCTTAGTGACGTATTTATAAACAATTCCTATACCCCCGTTTCAACTTCAAAATGAAGGTAAATTATTTAGTCATTGATTACAAAATTGTCATTTGTGGATGTAAATATACAGAAATAAATTGGTCATATAGTTGCCATTTTAAAACATTTGTATGCAACAATGGGGTTTTCTAGTGTTATATAGTGGAGGTTGAACCCCCACCGGAGACCCGAAACTGACCCAAAGAGGAACACTTCGCCCTATAATCTGTTAGAGTGTACAAAGGGGTGTAACCTGTATTTCAGCAACTTCTAGTGGTTAAATCCAATAAATCCCTGATATTCAATTTACAATCAACAAGTAACCATTTATTTATAAGAGTCATAGACTAATACAGCATAGAAGCAGTCCCTTCGGCCTGTTACCTAAATCTAACAGTGAAAAAATTAACTAACTTATTAACAAACGGAATAAATCCAGAGCTAGTAGGAACTGCAGATGCTGGAGAATCCGAGACAACAAGGTGCAGAGCTGGATGAACACAGCAGGCCAAGCAGCATCATACGAGCAAAAAGGCTGACGTTTCAGGCCTAGACCCTTCATCAGAATAAATCCATTCTAAATACTAACTATTCCCGAATAACTCCAGATTCTAATGGTATGCTGTTCCAATAAATACAAGTCCCACTTATATAACAAAACAATCGAATTTGGTCTCTCAAAATTACATCCAGTCTATGTCTTCCGGAATGTTCTTCGTTTTCTCCATCAGTTCTTCTGTCAAGATTGCTTTCTCTGTGAATTCTGTCAGGAATCTTGAGTGCTGTGGTACCATTGTGAATAGACATGGTGCTTTTTCTGAGCTGACAGTTGTCAAGCAGATGGCAGTTAGCTCTCCTGTCTTTGCCCAACTGCCCTTTCTTTTATACCCTTGATGACATATCAATTTCTTACAATCGGATTGGTCTTAGGTTGTCAAAACCACCAGATTCAAATTTGATAGGTTTTTGGTATCTAAGTGCCTGGTTCAAATTCAGTTCAAAATTCAGAAACCCATTGTCATGTAAAAATGCTGCTTGACCCACTAACAGTATGACCTTTCCACACAAATGTTTCAATTCGAGTGTTCTGTGTACTTGCATAATTGTAAGCTGCTCACAGACATGTCCAAGCATGGAAAAGCACAATCTTTTAAAGGAATCACCCAATGCCTTCTGTGCCTCTTCCCCCACCCCCCCAGCATTTTACAAACACCAATATTTTACATATACCAAATTCTAATGTCCTACCTGCCAATCCACAAATACTGTACCCAACTTCACAACACTGGAAGTGATAACATTGTGATTATATAATGAAGCACTAACTTCATGAAAATGCATGTCATGTTATATTCTGTTTGAAAGCGAAGTAAAGCATGCACCATTCAGTGTGATTCTGTTTTATTGTAGTTTATGTTATGGTTTTGTATGCTGAGTTACCCACGTTTTGCATAATGTGTCTTCGTGCTGCACCTGCTCATGGGGGGGGGAGACAAAAAATCCATTAGAAAACCTGTTTATATCAGCTTTGTAACTAAATTCTACCAAATACCAGAACAGAAGAATTTGCTTTATTTTCTGTTGTTCATTCACGATTCAGTTAGATTGGAACTCCGTTTAGTGTAGTGCATAATGCATAAATTGGTAAATAGTTAAGGAGTTTGGTGAGTAAATAATCTAATGAATATCACCTTAAAAGTTGACTTTTTTTAAATATCTGCGTTCTTTCAGGGTCAAGGAGGTGAACGACTTCTCTCCACAGAAGCTCATGAGGAAGTGGCAAATGTATTGCAGCAACCGCTTGCTCTTGGATACTTCGTGTCAACTGCCAAAGCTGAGAATCTTCCTCAGTGGTTCTGGTCTGCCTGTCCCCATGCCCAAAATCAATGCCCATTGTTTCTAAAGGTGAGTGCTGCTTCTTCAAATTAAGATTTGTCAATCATCATTTGAAGTGTCTGTCTATTTTTAATGTTTGCCATGGATCTAAGACTGTTAAAATACATACATGGAGGTAGTTTCAGGCAAATCTAATATTGAACATACATTTGTTTCCATTTTATAGAATCAGTCTCATATATTTAATACTCTGCTGTCATCAACCTGTGTTGATGAGTATTTGCAGTAACATTTATATGCAGCAAATAGAAAATTGAATGAAGATGTGTTCACTTGCTGGCCCCTCCTCCATTAACTGGTCCTTCAGCAGAAGGAGTATTGAAGATCCTTTTGCACTCCCTTCATCCACATTCTCTGGATCAGATCTGTACTTGTTGCCAGAGTAAAGTAGCACTGAAATGACTTTAAGCAGTAAATAAATCTTGTGTACCTTAGATGTTTCACAATGTAAAACTTCTATAGCAAGAAACACCCCAAAACAGAATTAAAATCGGCTGGCAATGGAGTTTGAAATAATTAAGTCTATGGTATTCCACATTGTTTCGAAAACTGTTTATAGTTATTGTGGTGAAATTGACTAATCTGTTACTGTATTCCTTTTTATTGTAGGCCTCTTTACATCACCATGTCTCCTTGGCACAATCTGATGAACTACTTCCTGGCAAGCACACTCATCCTCACCCGCTGGATTCCAATAGAACTTCAGATGTTTTGAGGTTTGTCATAACTATCTGTCACCTAGTCTTTAGCAAAACTATTTTATTACTAAAATGAATATTAATACACTAGCTCTTCCTTTTCCAGATTTGTACTGGAACAGTATAATGCCTTATCATGGCTCAACTGCAACCCTGCCACACAAGATCGCCAGTCCTGTCTACCCGTCCACTTTGTGGTGCTTACTCAAATGTACAATGCCATTATGAATTTACTTTGAAACTAGGAATCGTGTTATACACGGACCTAATCCCTTTCCCTGACCAATAATATGCATCATCAGCTGTACATCAATGACATGAAGACCTTGCAAGGGAAAATATCAAAATTTGAGCAAGTATCATTTCCAAGAGAATTGAATTCACTCCATCTAACTTTCTCAAATGTGTGAGCGTTAACCTGCAAAGAACTTTTCTTGGATATTGGTGCATCAGCGGCATACGTTGTAAAGCTCTTCCACATCAGTAACTTTTTTGGAATTCTTATGTTACAGCTTCTGAAACAAAACTTGTCATCATTGCTACAACACAGAATTTATTTTTCATGATAAATTGTACATTCTTTTAAAAAAAACACAGTATTGTGAAATTGAAGAAAATATAGTGGAGAATATCAACTAGCTAGTGCTTGTAAATGATATTTTATTGTGCATTTGAGTCACCGTTGGTGGCTTCCTTTGTATTGTAGATATAAACCAGATATATCAAAAGTTTGTATCTATTGTGTACAGTGTAAAATTGACAAATTGCAGTACTATTTTTTCTTAATCAGAAAAATTTCACAAGGTCTTTTGAAGAGGAAAATCAAGATTGTAAAATTGTACAAAAAGTTAACTTGGTGAGAATTGTAAGTAGAAGTTTGTAATTTTTCCATTTTATTGTCATTCTCCCTCCCAGAATTCATCAGCTGTAGATGAAAATGGGTTGTTTCGATTTCAAGGCCATTTTTATCTAGGACTTTACTGATGAAGATAAATACTCATCTTCATATTTTTGGAGGTGCAAACTCAGACCTCTTGTCATTTTATTTAAGATTTAAGTTAAAAGATTCTGGTGAAGTAATATTTATAGGTTTTTGTGCAAAAAATAAATAAATGGCAATAGATAAAATCCTATATTATGTACTTCAATGTGAGAAAGTTGTATGTATATTTCTCATGGATATGCATATTTTAGTTGTGGATTTTTAAAAGTTTGAGCATACAAGCCCCAGTTGAACAACAGAATCCCTTTGCAGAAGATTTTCATTTTTCTTCTGTTAGAACACATTCAAAGTTCAGAAATGGCATACCAGTTTGTCTTGTGATAACCTGGATTTGCTAGCATGCTTGTATGTATATTTCAGAACATTTTTAAATGTAAAAGCTGTACATTTCACGCCAATATGAAGTTTTTTCTTCTGAGCATTTTGCTGTGGGCTTCTTTTATATAAAATAAAATAAGTGAAGTTCATTTTAATTCTGTATTGCTGAAACAAATACACTAAAAGCGAGTTTGATAAACCTGCAGGCATTTTAATGTCATTCATATATCTTGTGGATGAGAGCTATACTTTTACACACTTTTTTAGATTAATAAATTATTAAATTATCGAAATACAATCTCCGGGTACATTTCCTTATAGAAACTTTTGTAGCAAGTTAGCGTAAGGATTGCGTGACTCAAGAGGATACTTTGTGAACATTGGAAACTTCATATTGTTCTGTAAGATAAATCTATTGCTGGAAACAACAACAAAAATTCTTTCTTGACTTTTGTGACCTGAGGGTTTTCGTTTCCATTATGGGGTTAGTACTTTTGTGCTCTGCAGTTGAATATTTTAATTAATTAGATTGCTCTCCTAGTTTTAGCTACTTATGTAGACTCTATTCAAAAATGGTAGGATAGTGAAAAGGCTTTTTTAAAAGATGATCACTTTATTAATTCAACATGAAACAGAGGTTTTTCAAAAAAAAAATAACTTAGAACACATGGAAGAAAAATATATTGCAGCAGCAGTCTTTTCTCCAGCAGCCTTTATTCATTCATTCATCCCCAGTGAACTTTCTGTATGGTTTCAGTAGAATGACTAAAATGTGATTCTACATGTCTGTCTACCCTAGGGCATGTGATTTCTATTCATGGGTGGAAAGTTGCCAGAGGGTAAATTTCACAGCTGAAGAACATACTTATGAATTGGCAGCTCAGGAGTCTTTTCATTAGCAAGTCTGTTGGGCTGTGAACACAGGAATTGTATATCCCATGAGAAAAGTACATCTGAAACTAGAATGCCATCGTAATGCTTTTTCGCTCCTCATTAAGCTGGAGTTCTCTATCTTGATGGCCATCATGAACAGTGATGAATGGAAAGGGGGACAAAATGAAGCTTGCAAAAATAAATGTCCATACGCTTATTGCAGCAGCGTACTTGTGCTTTGTAACAACAGGATGCAAATGATCTCACCAGTGCAGTTAATTTTTACCAGGTAAGCAAATACTTTAATATCAAAACAAATTTTGAAGTATGTTGATGTGCTTCTTGTGGTTATTTTGTTCTTAACATCAATGTTATATAAATTAAGTAGAAGTATTTAGAAACCTACACACCTGATATTCACACAATTGTCTGCTGTTACATCATTTTTGATTGTATCTCCGATTTCTGCCAATCTGCCAAAGTTACTGTAGCAGATCAGGAGAATGGCTCAAGAGCTTCTGGCATACTACGACTTTTAAATGAAAGGATATAGTAACCCGTTTGTCAGTATTACTTTTCAAGAACATGATAAGACAATGGTCTTTTAATAGATAATAGATGTGCTGATTCAAAGAGATGACTATCTTTGATAAAGGCAAGTTCAAATGCTAAAGGTATGATTTTTATATAATCTGTAAAATTTACAGGAAACCAAATTCTTCACAAATTGCATGACAGTTCCATAGTCCATTGAAAGGCATGGTTGTTCATATGTCACAAAATATTTGCTTTGATATTCTTGTATGTATCTCAATCTGCTGAATTTAATGCTAGATTTTACAAACAGCTGAAAGTTGAACAAGATTTTCTCCGTCATTATTTACCAGTGTCATAAGCTTAGCACAGTAAGATGGATAAATAGTTGAAACAAAAATTAAAATTGACTCAACAATAACATCATTTTTATGCGGAAAGTCCATCTGTATTAATGTAGACAAATTAAAAGATATCTAGTCAAAAGCAGAATTTGATGTAGTGAGGGATAAATTTTACAGCAAACTGTGCTCGCTAACAGGTTTAATCTGGTGAGATTCATAATTTGAATAGTTGCAAGAGACTGTCAAAGAAAATCAGCTGTCAAAGCCACTGCTGGAAATGACGGCAGCTTGGAGAATTTATCTAATGAATCTTTTGAGGTTGGTTGACCTTCTGTTGAGAACAAAGATATTGAACTTGATCTCCACCTTGAAATCACTGACTTTTTGACCCACTTTACCAGAGCAATTTCAAGTACATATTTTTTTTTTTTTTGGTACACTTTCAAAGCTTTAACAGATTTCTGATGCATATGTTTGTTATGAAAGTGAACAATCTGAAGTAATTATGTCTGTTCCCTAAAGTTAAAGTTTAAAATCATTAATAATTTTTTAAAAAAGTCTGCAGAGAGCAGTCAAAATTTGTATCTTCTATGAATATATTTTGAATGTTGTAAAGATAATTGTCCACTTTGTAGAAATTGAAAGAACTTCAGATTTAGTATTTGAGAAGTGCAAATGAATGGGATAATCCTTGGCTAGGCATGGATTGGAATTAACGATTCCTGAATGGATTCTGTCTTAATCATAGGAAAATAAATAGATTATAAATTTATAATTTGTGTTTCATCATGGTGGAGTAGCATATAACAGTTTACCTGTAACTTGGATTGTTCTTACAGTATCATGGATGTCCAATATATCTGGCTCCTTCAGATAATGTCTCCGAAACTTTGTGGTGTTCAACAGACTGATTACATGAAAATAAGGGATTGGACTGATCAATTTTGCAGATGTACAGCTGACTAAATGTGCAGAAACTGCTGGAGTAAACATGCCTTCTACTTGAAATTGGGAAGGAGGTGGGATGCAGTAGTTGTAATAGGTGTGAATGCAGCTGATAGTGTTGTGCGCCCATTTCCAAGGTTCTGCCGAGTTTGTAGATCTTCACTAGATTTATGAAATGAATTTGAAAGGTAATAGCCACATATTCCGGATTCCTGATGATGCTTAGGTGGTACAGTGAAATGTACGTTTTTGCAGACAATTGTGCAAGAACTTTCATTGCTAAATTGAGTTTGAGACTGACAGAGGGAGTTACATTGAGGTCGTTATCACAATTTTTAAATAGTGAAAAAATAGGAACTGTGAAGATGCGGAGAGGTTTGAGGTTGAAGTACAGATAGCACAAAGTTCGTCAACAGAAACCAAATTGAAAGGTCGAATTGAATATTCGCTTTTATATCACTAGCTGCAGTTCGGAAGTGTTCAGGCAGTTAATTGTATAAAGTTCTAAACAAAGTTTAATTCTGGCAACTATACATCAAGAAGAATGTTATGCTTGGAAGGTGGAAAAAGCAAATTTACCAGAATGATATCTGAGACCAAAAGATTTTAATTAAGGCCAGCTTAAATTGACCAAGTCTGTATTCACTTAAGTGATGAATGGTCTAATTGAGAAGGTTAAGATGATTGAAGAATTATAGATTGGATGGAGAGGAATCACTTCTGGTGAGTTTTGAAAAGTGGCATACTTATCAAAATTAAAACTAGGTTGTTCAGAGTGAGGCCAGGGTACATCACATAAAGGATGATGGAGAAATAAATTGTCTAAACTAGATCACTCAAAATGCAAAACTGATATTTCACAAATTTTAGTTAGACCGTTATCTTAAGTGTTTTTGAACCAAGGCAGGATGACCACTAAAATATTAACCATAATCTAATTTGTATGGTGAAACAAGCATGGGCTGGATGGTCTACATATGTCACTCCATAGAACCGTAGCCAGAAACTACACCAATTTTGTTACAACTAATGATCCTTGGTAATTGTGTTCATACAGAAAGTAAACATGAATTACAAAGAAAACACTTTCATTTTAGAATTAATGGTAAGAATAATCAGGAATCCAGTACACAAAGTCAAGGACCCTTGGAAGATAAGATATAGGAGCAAGAGTAGGCTGCTCAGCCATTCTTTGAGAACATGGTTGATCTGATCATCCTTAACTCCACTGTCCTGCATTTTCCTTATAACCCTTGATTCCCTGACTGTTTTAAAACAGTCTGTTATGGCCTTGAATATATTCAATGACTCAGCCTCCACATCCCTCTACAATAAAGAATTCTACAGATTCCCAACTCTCAGAAGAACTTACTCCACATCTAAAACGTGCAACCCCTTACTCCTGAGATTATGCTCTCTCGTCCTAGCCCCTCCCGCAAGGGAAACAAGCTTTGTGTCCATCCTGTCAAGTCCCAGAGAATACTATGTTTCAATAAATTTGCCTCTCCTCCTAAACTCGGATGAGTACAGACCCAACCTACTCAATGTCTCCTTATAAAACAGCCCCTCCATAGCTAGTATCAGCAACCTTGTCTGAACTGTTTCCAATGCCAGCATATATTTCCTTAGCTATGGGGTCTAAAACCTCTCGGTATTCCAGCAGTGATCTGATTAGTACCTTGTATAATTTTAGAAAGACCTTCCTACTTTTATACATCGTAACCTTCTGAAATAAAAGCCAATAGTCAATTTGCCTTCCTTATTTACCTGCTGATCTTGAATATCAGCTTTTTGTGATTCATGGGCAACGATTCCCAGTCCTGCCATTCTATAGCTTTCTGCAGTCTTTCTCCATTCTTAAATAATGTTTAGCTCTATTGTTCCAAAGTGCATAACCTCACACCTTTCCATATCATAATCCATCCACCCAAGTTTTTGCCCAGTTATGTAACCTGACCACATCCGTCTGCAGACTATCGACTCTGTCAACTTCACCACTTGCCTTCTCGCTTATTTTTGTGTTGTCTGCAAACTTAGGTCTACTACGTTCACTTTCCACAGCCAAGTCATTAATATATATTGGAAATAGTTGTGACTCCAGGCTGATGTCTGTGTCATTCCACTAATTACAGATTTCCAGCCTGAAAATGCCCCTCTTATCCAACTTGGTCATATTTTAGTTAGCCAATTTTCCAGCTTTACTCACATGCTACTTTCAACACCGTAGGCTCTTAAGAAGCTAAATGTGTGGTACTTTCTCAAACACCTTATGAAAATTTCAAGTACATTACATTTGCTACTTCCCTATTATCCGTCCAGCTTGTTACCACCTTAAAGAATTGTAATAGATTTTGTCAGGCATGACTTGCTCTTCATGAAGCCATGCTGACTGCTGGATCATTAATATACATTTGTAAATGCTATTACATTTTATTAATAATAGACTTAACATTTTCCTAAGAACAGACACCAGCTAACTAGCCTATCCTCTTTGCTGACAGCACTGTTGAGTGTCACTACACCCAAAGGACTGCAGTGGTTCAAGAAGACAACTCATCACCACCTTCTCCAGGGCAATTAGGTATGGGCAATAAATG